GACTTGAACGTAAATTTAAAGGGGGCCGACCACACGAAGGGCACGGATTAAGTGACTCCTTGAGTATGAAAGTACATGAGGCGGGAGAGCTGGCGAGAGACAGGGTTTCTTTCAGACAGACCGTGATAGAGCGATGTTCTACATGATGATGATGACCCATCTTCTGCAGCAAGCGACGAGTTCCAATTACGCTGGCACAAGCACCTGTCTGTTTATTCGTCTTGCCTTTCCATTGAGTGTTGAGCGTCGGCCAGATCGCGTGGTTACTCCTCACAGCGCCATTCTCCTCAGACCGTAATGATCTATTTGTGCCTCGGCACTGTTGCCTCGCTCCCCAAAGGCCCTCACAACATTTAGCTTTTCGTATATCAGTTCATCATCAAGGGATGCAGAACCGGTCAGTCTTTCTGCCTGCTCGTTTCCCTGTACACCGGCACTACCTGGAGAAAATATCCACAGGATGCCAGGTAGCAGGGACCTCTGAAGCGATGCTTGCCACTCTGCACGGAACATGCCTTTACCACCTTTCTCAACACGTTCTGTAAGTCAGTTACGATTACGACATGTACGTACAGCTGATTCTATTTGGCTGTGTAGATCACATTTAGCCCCTTACTGACTATTTCAAAACTAGATACAATGTTTCTATACAGGCAGATGTCTACAAAGATTTATGTAATGTTTCAATACATATTTTTGCACAAGCAATATTCACTGTGGCCTGTTTAACAAAGATAGAGAGGACTGTCACATGGAGTTCGAATCTGGTGGAACTGATAAATGTAACTTACTACACTAAACATTTTAAATTAGCTATGTGAGTCCCAAACAGGGATGTGACATGTGATGTTATTTCCCTCCATAGGCTCCAAATGGCACTTTTAAACAGAAAAAAAAATATAACACTGACATTCTCTACAAGTTCAGTCTAGAATGCTATGTCCCAGTCTATCATTGTTTATGAATCTGCATACAGCTTGCGGCGTCCGTGGCTAAGGCGTTGCGAGTCCGACTCGTAAGCCAGCATACCGCGATTGAAACCCACTGCAGGGGATTTTTGTCGTGGTATGGGACGTCGCAGGTCGACCCAGCCTAAAATGGGTACCAGGATGGGAAAGCGAAAGTAAAGACAGCCGGCATAATCACATTACCCACAGAGTGCTGATGGTCTGTAAAAATATGGGACGCTCTGCCCGTATGCCCGATGCGCCGAAAAACGTGAAAAGGGATCTTTACTTTTTTACTGTATACAGCTTAAGTCGGCTCTGTGGCTAAGTCGATGCGAACGCTTCATAATGCCGGGTTCGATCCCAGCTGCGGGCCTTGCGCCTTGTGTTGGTTTCGACAGTGGTATCCAGAAAGCCGACCATCCAGGACCAATGGCAAACTACTGGACGTAAATTTGCCTAGAAAAACCACACAACAGCCAGGGGCTGTTAGGGTTGGTTCTGCAACGTCCTGTTAAGGATACGTAACAAACCTTTTAACAGTTTAAATCCAGCGGCAGCTTTCGTGTACCTTATTCTCCTAACACCACCACACATGACATACTACGTATAAGCTTGTTTTCATGGGATCTTTAACTGAACAAAAAATGAAGACTTGTGTACGAGACTTAGTTCATTTCATGATACTGTATAATTAGTAGCCATACGAGAGACTTAACTCTGTGAGGCTTTCAGTTTCGAGGAAAAAAATTTTTTTTTTAACTGAATAGACCGCATACCCTGGGTGTACCAACTGGAGCCGAGACAAGAAACCCACACGGGAGCCACCCGCCGTTTTATCATGCAGAACAGAATGGGAATTGTTAGCCTAAAAACACTTGGAGACATTCTCAGGAGGAGGTCGGAGCACTTGTGGTCATGTCCACTAGGCGATGAAGATGACCTCTGACATGAACAATGTGAAATTAGTAATACGATTCTTTCTCTTCGGTGTGCGTCTCCCCCCCCCCCCCTCCCTAACCACCCTTTTTTAACACACACACACACACACACACACACACAAACGGTCTCGGGGTTGTCTGGCAGAATTACGAGTTTCACCGTGGTTGAAACTGAGGTTTTCTAATGTAAAATATTCCCAAAGAAGGCAGTGGCTACACGGTGGCACACCTTCATTGTAGCGACAGCACATTGTTTCAATTTGATGTACCCGGGGTTTTTCTCAGAAATGATGAGCCGTCTGCCTTTACAACTTCCTGTTTATAATCGGTTCTTTCAGAAATGATGTGTATCGACAACAGATTCCGTTTATATCCTTTTGTTTATTACAGTTAAAGGTGTGTTTTATTTTTAGTCCATCATTGGAAAGGAATATACGCATTTGTTTGAAATATTTAATTATTCACTATAATATTGTTTTTTAGAATGTAAAAACAACAACGCAATTTTAAATAACAGATATCGAATAATGACTCTAGTCTGAGGTATCGGGAGAAAGAATACAAACAACAACATTGATAGAACTCTCCTGGTCTGTTTTTGTCGTTGTTAACGTTTGTACGCATCTTTGTCTTTTGGTTTCTTTTGTTTGTTAAAATATATGTCTTGCTCCATTTAGTTTAATATATATATACAGTCACTGTGCACTAAATATTATATACGGTTCCAATTATAGATAAAATGCAGCTAGCGTGAATTCAGGAATATAAGTAAAACAAAACTAGGCTCTCCTTTAAATAACGTTACGGTCGCTAGCAGGAAGGCTACGGTCGCTTAGTCGGAGTTTACTCCCTTGGCTGCAGTGCAAATAAAGGAGTGGTAAAGAGGGAACGAAACAAATGATATAGTTATCTGTCATCCTAGGGTTAGGCTTAGGGCTTTGGTTAGGATTTGGGGTAGAGTTAGGGGTAGGGTTGGGGTTAGGGGTAGGGTTAGGGTTAGGGTGACACATCACGGAAACGACGGAAGCTTATCGCTCATTACGACATACAGATCCGCAGGTCTCACATCTACGGTCACTAAGTCGTGCGTCGGGAGAACGCGGTTGCTAATGTCGCAGCGCGTGGTCTACGAGAGTCTTGCGTCGCAAGACCGCGGTCGCTATTGTCAGTCGCAGCGCGTGGTCTAGCTCTAGCAGGCATGTCGACCTCACTGTGTTTTTTGATTCATGACTTGTCCCCTCCGTATTTGCACTGCAGCCAAGGGAGTGAACTCCGACTAAGCGGCCGTCGCCTTCCAGCTAGCGACCGTTATTTAAAGGAGAGCCCAAAACTAAAATGGAATTTATTACTTACTTTCGATTTCAATATTTCATTCAATTAGCATATGTAATGTATTGTTTTTTTTAAAAAAAAGATTATACTCTTCTGCTGTGGCCCACCACGATAATTAATCATTTTAATCCAGTTACCTCTGTATAATGTCAAGGGAAAGATGTCTGTACTTTCTGTAATGTGTTGTATAAACTTCTGTAATATGTCATTTTTCTAAGATTGTTTTTGATGCCCTCTTTCCATATTTTGCCTTGGATAGGTGCATGCTCTCTGTTAATTGTATTTTGTTTTCAACGTGTCTCTATGTGGCAGTTTTTAACAAAAGCATTTTCTTCACTTAACCAAACTGTCTTCTCACTTTTGCACTAAGATATAGTCAGTTGTATCACTGGTTTTAAGTTGTCTTGTTACAATTTATTTTTCTTCTTCTGTTAATTTTTTAAAAATTTTTTTAAAGGTACATTGTGTAAATACATAATCTACAATCTACACTCTTTTGTTTAGCTATGAATAATTTCCATTTTATTTTTGTGCTTGCATTATTTTTTTTTTGAAAATAAAATGCAGATTGGGAAAAACATCCAGCTGCATGTGACTCAACACACAGCCTGTGAGAAGAACAAAATATCTAAAAGTGACAAAGCTCATTCAGCTCTTTTGTGTACAAATTTTTTTCTCTCTGTTACCAGCCGTTCTCTCTATAGTCCTAATGTTACATTCTACTAGCCTTTATGATAAAAGTAAAAGATTCTCTTCTACATCCTTTGGCATATTGTATATATATAGTTATATTTTATAGACCAATCAACACTTTGTACCTGATGTGGTCAACATCATGCCAGCCACCTTTACTTCCCTTTTTTTTTTAACCTGAAACTCATTTTAGTCCCTCATGATGCATGGGTTCTGAGACCTTATGTGGGGGAGGGGGGGGGGAGGAATAGACCCACTGCTTTCCTAACAAGCATGCCCCATAAGGCTAATTAGGGGCATTTGCTTCGAAGTCAGAGTGTGTCTACCTGAGAGGTGAGGAACCAGCTTTCTGCAGAAAATTCACCAGATCTATCAAATGGATGCACACTCAAAATTAAAGTTCTGGATAAAGTCTAAAGTCCAGAAGTGGAGGAACAACCAGAACTTTCCGCCAGAGTTTACAACCGCTGAGTGCTAAAAAGAAGAAGATGCAAGTAATTGGTAATGATTTCAACAGATTATGATTTTCATTATTGATTCTCAGTCTCCTTTCTCCACTGTCTGCATCCGTGATAACTCCAAAGTCCAGTATTGATTAGTTTTGAGTTTCAGCGGCTTTGGAAAGAATGAGTTATAATAACAGCTGCATAGTATTAGGAGAGTTAACAGATTCTGGTGACTGTGTATTGCAGGGTCAGAGTTGAAGTCCCCAAAGATGTTGCAGACATTCCTGATCGTTGCTGTGCCTGCACTGGTTACTTTGACTGCTGCCTTGTATATTGCAGGGTCACAGTTGAAGTCCCCAAAGATGTTGCAGACATTCCTGATCGTTGCTGTGCCTGCACTGGTTACTTTGACTGCTGCCTTGTATATTGCAGGGTCAGAGTTGAAGTCCCCAAAGATGTTGCAGACATTCCTGATCGTTGCTGTGCCTGCACTGGTTACTTTGACTGCTGCCTTGTATATTGCAGGGTCAGAGTTGAAGTCCCCAAAGATGTTGCAGACATCCCTGATCGTTGCTGTGCCTGCACTGGTTACTTTGACTGCTGCCTTGTATATTGCAGGGTCAGAGTTGAAGTCCCCAAAGATGTTGCAGACATTCCTGATTGTTGCTGTGCCTGCACTGGTTACTTTGACTGCTGCCTTGTACGTTTTACACCGTGTGTCTAGAGCAAGAGAAGAAATGCACAGACCACCTCATTTCCAAACCCGTCCAGGCAAGTTGACATGTTCATTCATCCCTTTTATGGGTTCCAGGGCCAGAATTATTGGTGGGGGAAAAAGTATAAATCCGCTTAAAAGACTCCCTCTCAAAAGGGATTTGCTGAAATCAAATTGTTGGACAGAAAGGCGCAGATATCACCGCCTTACAACCACAATACAAAGATGCCAACCGCTGCTTTTAAGAGTGAATATGAAGACATATTGATTCATTGTCATGCTATAGTTTGCCCTGTATAGAACTTTGTCCTTGAACTTCTGTCTTTACAGATGTCTCTCTGTTATATACAGTTGTTCTCCCTCTGTTGCTGTGTGTGTAAACAATCTTTTACATCTTGAACCCATCCACTTTGTGGTCTTCCTCTGTTTCTGCTTCCTCATCATGTCTCCTTCTATGATTATCTTTTCCAGACCTTACTATCTTCTTACATGCCCGCAGACTCCTTTTTCATATATTTTCTGTTGTCTTTGTCTGCTTTTGCTATTAGAGGGCCGGCTGTGTTATACTTTACAGGTAGGCTGCAATATCTTTGCCTTTCAACCCAGCACATTTGATTTCAGCAAATTAGTAACCTGTTGTGACATGCAAATAAATGGAGACACAGTTTGGAACAAGAGTAGCAGAAATTATCCCTAATTTTATCTACACACAACTGAGTGGAGATCCTGCAAGTGTGTCAAGGTCAACCAAGAATAGAAAACCGAATTAAGACCTAATAGGACCCCATTTGCCTGACTCCAAGCATGTATTTGAGAGGTATTAAGCCTTCTGGGTTATTTACCAAACCTGAATAGACTTCTCCTGAAACTTTTAGGCTGGTTTGAAGACTTTCCTCCTCATCTGATGCATCTCCCTAGTGGGTTGTTAAATTGTCCAGATTTTTCACCTTGTCTGATTCCGTCTTGCTAGAAAGCTGCTATGTCCAAGCTCAGAAACTATCAAAGTGTTCAGTTCCACTTCTTAAACTGCACATCTGCAGAAAGGAGAGCGATTTTAACCTGTTGCCCAAGAAAGCCCTGAACTAGGCTTTCCTGTTGTTGCCACATCCTGGTAAAATCGATCTTTTTTCCAAGAAACATAGTTTAATGTCTGTTCATGCCAGTGCAGCATTCAGGAGGCCCCCTTTATATCATTATCAAGTGCCTTGTCGACTGGCATGAGCTATTATGCGTCTCCACAGTCTGTGATCCACAACTGTGTGAATCAGTTTGTGTGCTGAAACTCTTCCATGCTATGACAAAAGACTGTCAAGAATCTTCTTGCGCTGTCTTCCTCTGTGTCTCTTCCCACAGATCTTTCCAGTGGTCACAACATGTTTCATTTTCCCTCTTCTCCTAACATGACAAAAAAATGAAGACTCTCTTTTCTGATGTTTGATAAGTTGTCTTCGGGTACTCACCTTATTCAAAAGATCTGGGTTGTTATTCTGAGCTGTCCAAGGAATTATAAGAATCTTCCGTAAAACCACATCTCCAAGGACTCAAGATATTGTTTGGCTTGTTTGTTAATTTCCAGGATTCACACCTGTATGTTAAAACTGACTCTAAATAGTATGCAAGAATTCTTTTCCTAACCTCCAATGACATGGATTAATTATCAGAAATGTTCTTCATTTTATAAAAGCAGCCTGTCCTATTCTTTCCTGTATACCCTCCAGAAAGTACCTAGAGAATTTGAGAAATACCATCCTGGTCTCAAATTTGATGAAAGGGAAAATCCCAAACTGCACCCCCAAGTGGTGGAGGGTGGAAAACACACCATGGTGTGGCTAACGCAGATATGGGGGCCGAGTATCCACCGGAATAAGTGGATCACACCGCAGCTGGGCAGAGAAGGGCACCCACTTGTCCTGACAGTCGGAAGTTACTGTCAAAGGTGCAGGTTAAAATACCTAATGTAGATGTGGAAGTCAACGGAAAACCACCACATTATTTTCCCAAGAAAACTCAAGAGAAAGCACAGACCGAATCACATGAACGACGTTAATGGAAGTCTAAGAACAGCCTGGTCTGGTAGGGACAGTCACGAGTCGCAGGTGACACCAGATCATCTTCAGGTTACTGATGGCAGTTTTTAAAGAGTTATGAAAAAGAGGGTGCTAAAATGTTACATAGAACCTGTTCTGCTGTATGGCAGCAAATCGTGGAATGTCACTGATCAAATTAAGAAGAATTTGGAAGCAACAGAGATGTGGTTTCTGAGACGATTGTTACGAATGCCTTGGACGGCCAGAGTAACTAACAACAATTTGCTCGAAAGAGACTAATGAAAGTAGATCTCTATATACAACAATAAGAAAGAGACAAACAAGATTTTTGGCTACATAATGAGAAGAGAGATATTGGAGAACATTGTGACAACTGGAAAGATCAGTGGAAAAAGGGGTAGAGGCAGACCAAGAGAGTGATGCTGGATGAGCTAAAACGGTGGCATAAAGGAATGGAATATCATCAAGAGAGCTGTTCCAGTCAACCAGGGATCGTGATCTGTGGAGACGCATGAGCACCTACGCAAGTTGGCAGGGCACATGATGATGATCTCTGTGGTACATCTTCCATGGGCCTAGATACCTAAACCTGTCTCAAAATAACACCTTTGACTTTTATTATACATTAAGGTACTTATTATTTTTTTTTGGGGGGGGGGGGGGGGGGGGGGGGGGGGGGGGGAAATCACCATTACTTCTGTCTTCCCATTATTCAAACTAAGGCCCATTTTTATTAATTTCTACCATCATGTCTCTGTCTATGCCTTTAGTTCTCTCTGACTTGTCTCTATCAAGATGGTGTCATTAGCATAACTTATGTTGTTTAAAACCACCAGCCACGATAGATCTCATTATGAATTCATTGTACAATGAAAACAAATCAGGTGATAGTATACATCTTTGTCGTACTCCCCTTTTTATGCTCTGAAATGTTCCCAAATGGTTATCTGTTCTTTTAACTGCTGTTTGCTGCCAATACATGTTCTTTATAATTCGTAAATCTTTCCCATCAATGTTTAACTTTTCCAACAGTTTGATTATTTCTTCATGTTTCACACAATCAAATGCTTTTGTATAGTCAATAAAGCATAAGTAAAGATCATTTTTTTTTTTACTTCTGTAGCTCTTTCCGCAAGATTCCTGAGAATGTTTGTACCCTTCCCTTGTACAAATTCATACTGTTCTTCACTAAATTTTGGTTAAATCATGATTCTTCTTCTTCTCATGATTATTCTTGTTAACATTTTTATTACATGGCTCATAAAACTTATAGTATGATGGTCTTCACATTTTAAATTGCCTGATTTCTTTGGCAGAGCAATAAATATAGATTTTAATAAGTCATCAGGAATGTACCCACTACTATAAATGTCATTTAACAGTTCTGTTATTGTTTCAATTCCAAAATATCGCAAAGCTTCAATTTCTTCCAATGTGATGTTGTCTGGCCCAGGTGCCTTTCCTTTCTTCATGTGTTGCAATGCATCCTCAACTTCTGAAGCCTGTATTGGTGGGCCTTCACTGTTGTCCTGCAAATATACTTCTGTTCTGTTATCATCACACAGATCCTATAAGTCCATCTTTTAATTATGTCACTTTGCCCCAATAATATTTCACCTTCTTTCAATTTTAAACACCCAATGATGTTTTATCTCTTTTTCCCTGTGAATATACTTATCTGTTGGTGCATCAAGTGCAAGTTTTTCCCCGTGATTTTTCCCAATCTCTGTGCACATCTGATTCAGCCATGTTTCTTTAGAGTCTTTGCATTTGTTCACTTTTTCTTTATGTATATTAGAATATTCTTTATATATACTCGTTAATACTTTTTTATAGTTTGTATATACTTATTTATATACCTTTATATTTTTAGGTAGATAAAAGCATTAAAAATAAAATAAATTAGTGAACTGCAAAAATAATTCTTTTGAAAAAATTTTATTTTGGGTAAATCTCCCGAACCTTTTTTTGCCCAGTTATACTTATGAGTCATAAATCAGTGAATCTTTTTTTTTTTTTTAAATACCAGCCTCTTTGCAGTTGCCCCTGTTCCCATTCTTTCTTCTTTGTTGGGAATTGTGCTTGATTGATTGTTCTCAATTAAGCATTGTTTTTGATTGATTGTTTTTCAATTTTACATTACTCTTGATTAATTATTCTTCATTTTGAAGGTGTCACCTCAGACTATGATGATGCAGCCAACAAGAGGTCAAGATCTCGTCCATCATCAAGAGCTGACTTGAATACATCTCGTGGTGCAGCTGGTGACAGTACTGTCACATCTAGGAGAACAGGTGGCGGCTCTGAGTCGGGTCCATACAAAGGTGATTGTGTGGTGTGCTTTGAAGAAAGCAATATCGTACAGCTGTACCCATGCCTGCACAGAAGTCTCTGCGAAGAATGTGTCATAAAGATTGTTTCCAGCAACCGCAGGATTTGCCCCCTCTGTCGCACAAGAATTCAAGGCTACGGTGATGACTTCTAACCAGTTCTGATCTTCCCTGGCAGCTTAGGATATACAGTTTATTATAATCAACTGCTGTTCATTTTTTTTGCTGAATTGTAAAAAGTAAGTAAAGAACCTGTTTCTATGCCTTGATGTGTGTAGGACAAATGGTGCTAGCAATATTTTTGTTTACTAACTGCCACTCGATGGATGATGACATTACCATGCCATCACCCTTTACTCTCCATAGCCTTTCCTAGTATTAGTTTTTATACTGAGTCCATGTGGGAGCCTAGGTTAGTTTTTAAGATTCGGCCTTAGTGGGTATTGAATGTATGACATCTGAGCCATCAGATTCTTGTTGTACACACACAAAAGCGTAGGAATAGCACCATTTACCTAAAGTGCCTAATGGCAGGAAAAGGGTTCCTTTACTTATAGGTGGGTAGTTGAGCGTGTTGTGTAAGTACAAAAAGACATGCACTAGGGATTTGTTTACAGGTTCCCAACATAGTCATCTTCTGCATGAATGATATATTTTGTCTTGTAAATGTTGGTTTGAGAAGATAGTAGTAATCATAACGAAGCAACATTCCTCATGAATGGAAGTCTTCTTCTTCTTTCTTCTCTGCATTCACCAGCTGTAAACTCTGGTGGAAACTTCTGGTTGTTCATCCCCTTCTGGACTGCAGTCCTGTTCCAGAACTTGAGTGTTGCGTGTGCATCCGTTTGACAGATCTGACACATTTGTGTGCAGACTGTTGGTTCCTTGCCTCTCGGGCAGATGCACTCCGACTTCGAAGGAAATGAATGGAAGTGATAGGGATTGCACCGCAACATGTGGTGGTGGTGCAACAGTACCAGGGCTCAAACTGGACAACATATATCAGCATCTCTCCATGGTCAACCTAGAAACTATTCAGGACCTGACCAGAGTAAATTTTCTTCTTCAGCATTTTGTTCAGTCGGAGTGCATCTGTCTGAGAGGACGGAACTAACAGTCTGCACACAATAAGGCAGATCTGTAAATGGATATCCACATAAAATAGTCTTGGAACAAGATCAAAGTCCAGAGGTGAACAAACAACCAAGACTTTCCTTCAGCCAGTCGTCAAAAGCAGAAGTGATAGAAGTCTGCTATTGAGCATGTAGCGTCATCAGAGTTGAAAATAACCTTAAAGCATTTATTCCTTTATCTGGTTCTTTCAGAGGAAGTTGAGTTTTAAATACAATATGTACTCAGGCCTGAATGAGTAGGTGAACAGAAAGAGACAGTATAGAACCAGTTGTAATAGATACTATATGAATCCACACCTAGTCTTAGCAGAATGCATTAGAAACTATATTATAATGAAAACCTCCCAATGTGAGTTCTGAGGCTCATGTTTGGAAAAAGAATAGTCCCACTGTCCCGCAACACACACAAAAGTTAGTTGCGTATCATTTACAAGACGTTGCAGAACCGACCTCAGCATTTCTGGCTGTTGTAGTTTTTCTAGGCATATTTTACATTCAGTAGTATACCACTGCTTACTGAACGGTCAGCTCTTGATACCACTGTCGAAACCAGTGCAGGTCGTTCTGCAGCTGGGATCGAACCCGTCATTACGAAGCGCATTCGCAATGCCTAAGCCACATTGTAAAAAAGCAATTAATTAGAACCTTCTGAAATCGAAAGTGTTGGACTAAAAGATGCAGATATTGCAGCCTAGCTGTAAACCACAGTACAACAGTCCATGCCTCTGTTTAAAGGGCAGACACAAAAGATGTAGTTAAAACCAGGTGTATCTTTTATCTATGTGGGGGGGTAGATGGCTCTTTGACAAAGTGGCCAAGCTGTTTGCCTCATGATTTGAAGCTTGTGGGTTCGTTTTGCAGACTGTCATTCAGGTTCGCAAATGCAGTTTTGACAGAGATCCCTGGGGATTGTATTGGAGCTATGGAGTTTATGCTTTGTGCAACACGCTCAGCATTTTGCTGGCCATAATTTTGGAGAGCAAATGAGCTGCATGGGGTAAAACCCAGTGCAATGAAGTCAGTTCTCTCCTCTTTTAACCTTTAAACCCAAGTGTAATGGCTACTACATAAATTTATATCCTGTCTTATGTGATCTGTTCCACAACACATTGTGTTAATAGAGTTTACCGGCTGTAAACTGTGTCAGCAAGTTCTAGTAGTTCATCTACTTCTGGACTTTGATCTCGTTCCAGAACTTTAGTTTCGCTTGCATATCCACTTTGACGGAATCATCGCTAATTAATCGCTTCCTACAATATGCTTGTTAGTGGGCAATGGTTCTGTTCTGTTGAGCTGGGTTTTCAGGTCCACCAACTCTAAAATGACAACCAGGAAATTTACTTTACTTTGTATAGATGTTGTTTTAGAGTTAACTCTTTAATTACCAAAGAAATCACCAAATGCTTCTTGTTAATTCAACAGATAATATGATGGTCTTCTGTCACAGACAGTTGTTATTTGAACCCTTTTTTTAATCTGCTGGACTCATCCAGACCTGAGTATTTATTGCTTTAAGCTCAACTCCTTGGGACAGAAGGGGTTAAAGTAAAAACTGTTTTGTACTGAAAGAGTTAAGTGTATATTTACAAACACATTAGAATATACTCTACCTATAGGGTAAAACTCCTAGTGTTTGCCTTATACCATGTTTCTTAGTGTACCAAAGTCTTTCATCCTTTATATGCTTTTTTTTTTTAAATTTAATTTTTGACATCCTCATAAAGCAGAATACATTGCATATTTTTGTGAAACCTGTGCCTTGGTAGTTGTGATATCTCTAATTTTTGATTGGCATAATTTTTCAGTTTGCTTTTCATTGTCTTTGACTGCTTTACAGCAAGGCAGCAGGTTTGTGTGTCAGTTATCTGATCCTTATGCCTAGACCTCTGCTTAAGAGGTGAGGAACCAACAGTCTGCATACAGGTGTTAGTAAAATGGAAGTGCATACAAAATTCAGGTTCTGGAACAAGACTAAAGTGTAGAATTGGATAAACAACCAGAGCTTTCCGCCGGAATTTACAGCTGCTGAATGCGAAGAAAAAGATACCTGGACCTGTCCTGAACTGGTGAACCTACTAGATGCTTGCATTACTGTTGGCATAACATTTAAAAGTTTATGAGATACACAAACCCTTTTAACAGTTCAAGTTGAAAGACACAGATGGACACAGTTGATATTTCAAAACATTCATAATAGATGACCTGCTTTTTATGGTCATTAAACTTTAAATATTTGAAGTTTGATTTTGATTTGATTATAATTCCCGAAAGAGGAAGCAGGGGCCAAACACTTTCACAGCAGACTTCCCTTGTAGGTTTTAAGACCCCATTGGGGAGGGGGGGGGGGGGAGTGGAACGAACAGACTAATTAGGGTTTGTTGAAATCAGATGAAAACACATGAGGCCTCTGATGTGGTGGAGAATCTAGTCTTTCTGAATGTTTACAGGAGTATAATGTTGATCTGTGCCGACCACAAGAAAGCAATAAAAGATACGATATTACCATGACTCGATTCATACATCTGTCCTAGCTTTCACAATCTCTTTCATTTTTATATCTGTACTTTCTTGCAAGATTATGTGATTGCAAAGGTCTTCCAGAAATCCCATGCTGTAATTGCACAAGACATTCTTAACACAATCAGATCTTTCTAGTCATACTTGCCAGATCCACTAGCTACATTTCCCATGTTGCCCTGTAGCATAATATAAAAATAAATTTGTAAAAACAGAAAGAGGCCAACAAGAAGGTATCATGTTTGAATGCACTTCAGCTCACTGTTTTTGGATATTGGTATGTAATCAACCTACAGTTAAATATGAATATATTTGCCTATTTTATGAAGCCTGGCTCACTGAGGGCCTAATCCGCCCTGCCATAACATAACGTTTTCAGGTTGCATTTCCTCTTCCTAGGATAAGGCTAGTGTCCTCCCCAATGCGCTCCTCCGCCCAAAGCCATTGGCACAATATGGGATGTCAGGTTTGGTATACACTGCCTGATATTCGGCGTTAAAAGAAGACAGGTAGTCCCGGCTACTGTTTTATGGTAGCTCAGTCATATCTGACTAAGACATGACACTCACTGAGTTGTGTACAGATTGTCTTTATGTTTAGCAACCTCATTCAACATTTGCGTTGTGACCTGGCAAGTCATATTTCATTCTGTGTGATCATAGCTAAATTTGTATTTTTGTGGTGCACTCCTACCTAACTGGTCAGTGGTTGCAGACATTGTGCTTTAACTTATGTTTAAGTTTGTGTTTAGCTCACTGTGTTAATTAAAGTTTATAAGTGTGGTAGTGTATGTCTGTTTAATTTTATATAAATAAATGTGTATATGTCTTTGTTTATCTCTTTTAATTTATTAGTATGCAGAATGGCAACGATAGTAACAGAATAGCATTCCCCATATTGTTCTAGGGTCCAGTTGTGGGCCCTGTAAATCTGTAAAATGGATGTCCGTGCAAGCTTCAAGTTCTGGAACAAGACCAAAGTCCAGAAGTGGATGAATGACCAGATCTTTCTGTCAAAGTTTGAAGCTGGTGAAGTCTAAGAAGTAGAAACAATAGCAATAACAGATGAACATTCCTTGGACAGCCAAAATGAATAAGAAGCTAAGACACAAGGACAATTTATCACCAACATCAGTAAGAGACAATTGGCATGCTTTGGCAAAATAATTTCACTTGATGATGATAATGATGTTATACTTGTAGAATGAAAAAGAAGACATTTTTTTACACCAGTGGTCTGTCAGGTATTCGATGCTAGACTCGAGTTTTGTAGACTATTGGCACACGATGGGTGATGTGGTCAATATCATGCCAGCCACCTTTACTTCCTAGGACTTTACCTGGTACCATTTTAGGCTGAAGACCAAGGTCATTTTTGACAAAATCCAACTCAGTGAGGATTTGAACCCAAGAGCTTTGAGACTGCAGATAAGCTGCAGTAGCAATGCCACCATGGCTCTCTTATAATATACCAGGATGACATAGTTTGCAAAGAGACAAACTGAA